AACGGGGTTGATTTATTGCTTGCTTATACCAAAACAGAATCATTCGATACACATTATTCCATAATTTATATTTGTCACTTGACACAGGCATTCCGACAAGCCTGGGACTACGTATTTTTCTAGTTTCTTTATGTACATTTATATACAATTGTATGTGAATGAAATTATATCATGCACATCGTGGTTTCTTAGTGCAGCCTTTTTCTTTCTTGTCTGCCTTCTCATCTCCCTAACTCGTATTAGTTATCTACTGCTACATAACCAAGTAACTCAGAACTTAGCAGCTTCCAACAACAGCTAACATTTATTGTCTTAGAGCGCCTGGAGGTCAGCTTAGCTGGGTGGTTCTGGGTGGAAGGTCTCTCATAAGGTTGCAGTCAAGAGGTTGGATGGGGCTGCCATCATCTGAAGACATGACTGGATGGGGCTGGAAGCTCTGGTTCCAAGCTGGCGTTTCACACGGCTGGCGAGGCGGTGCCGGCTGCTGGCAGGAGGCCTGTGTTCCTCACCTCATGGACCTTTCTATAGGGCTGCTTGCGTGTTCTCACAACATGGCAGCTGGCTTCTCCCAGAGCAAAAATTAAGAGAGAGCATGATACAAGCTGCAATGTCTTTTCAGAGCTGGCTCAAAAGTCACACATCTTCAGTTTGTCATCTTCTCCTGCTTGTCCAGGTCAGCACTGTTCACTGTGGGCAGGGACTGCACAGAGGCGTGAACCCCAGGAGGTGATGCTCTCTGGAGGCCTTCCTGCAGGATGGCTACCACAGCCCTCCACCTCCTCCTCCTGCAAGGCCCGCCTCTCCCAGAGAGGCCATGTTAACAACTGGTGCCTACGCGTCTGTATTTTCTTCCGAGCTTTTATGAACATGTGCAAGTAGGTACACACAAGTACCGACATAAACTATAGGTGCCTTCTGAGATGGGTATTGTTACAACTAAAATTTTGATATTTTAAAATATTTAATATAAATTTTTAATTTATAAAATTTAAATTTTAAAATAAATATTTTTAAATATTTAAAAATAAAGAAACCGGAAGTCTGACCCAAGATCATGTGACTAAAGAGTGGAGCTGCTGGTATTTGGAGCGGAGACTCCGAGGCCCACACTGCCCACCTCGCTGAGCCATGGTCACTGCACTGACTCGCCAGCCTCCCTCGTGGTGACAACCCTGAGTCTCTTCACAGAGGCCTGTCACTCATTCTGACTGTTCATGGAGGTGAAGATCAGGAGTGTGCAGTCTGTCTGGAAGGCTGGATACATACCTCACATCAGACTGCACGAGACCACAGGTGTGATTAACGTGAGATGGAGCGAGCAGGGAGGACAGAGAGGGTGGCTGGCAGGACAACTGCTGGGTGGCCTTCCCACTGTGGGTGAAGTGCAGTATTTCCCACAAGCTGTGAGCAGGTGCCCTGTGGGCTCACGGGATGAGAAGGTGCCGGGCTAAAGGCAATCGCATCCTCTTAACACTTTAACGTGCCTTGTGAGCCTCCAGAGGAGGGGAAATAATAGGGAAGGCGTCTGAAACTGAGCTGGCCATGGAATCTCACTCCCCTCCCCACCAAGAAATATCTTATATCCCCTGGAACATGTTTTGGGAGTTGCTGAAACAGGGTAATCTAAGTTTTGTCCTGACCTCAGCAATTTAAAACATGCAACAACAATGGCTGTCTCTTTTGTTTTCTTCTCCTTAGATCAGTAACGAGATACGAGACATTTTTGTCTTGCCAGAAATCTTTGTTTACATTAAAAAAAGAAAAAAACTATAACAACCACCAACAAAGATTTCACTTTTCTTTTTTTTTTTTTGTACTAATACACTTCAAACTCGGCTTTTACCTTGCTGGAGGAAGAACTTAATTACTTACAGGTTTTTCTAGAACAGTCCTCAGTTCAACCCTACCACAGTTTACAGTGCAGCCCACATTACAGAATTCCACTGGCATTCAGCTCCTCGGGGTCCTTTAGAGTGGTAATGCAGGGATTTCAACCATACACACAGAAGGCTTTAGGAAATACCAACCTCTTGGGAACGCATAGCTCCAGCAGGCCCCTCTACCCTGAAAACTGCAGAATGGATTTCGACCTCTCCCCACCCCGAAACATGTCAGGAGTAAGCTGTCCTATTAACCACTCAGACAAATTATGTGTACGCTCACTTGGAAGTCAGTGGCCACAGGGCGAGCCCTCGCAAGTCAGTTCCTGTGGCAAACGGTAACCTCGGGAAGAGGGCCTGGAAGGGTAAAGGAAACGGGACAAGACTGCAGTTCTCACTCCCATAAGCAAACTCCAGGAAACAGAACGTCTTCCCCAAAGTGCTTTTAAAATGACCAGCCAACAAATGCCAGGTTGTTCATAGTCTGCAAATGATCGCGCAGAGTGGAGCAAAGACAGAGTTCTCGGGGTAACCTTTGCACAGGCACAAATAACCGGCGCCCGAGGCCGCTGCCCACTTACGAGGCCGGCTCTGCAACAGCGCATGCGCACTTGAAATGACAGTGGTCCCTGGGGCGATGCTTTTGATGGAGACCATCTGCTTAAAGGTGGTGACATCCTGGCCCTCCCGGCACGTGCTCCCTTCTTCCCAACAGGGAATCAGGATATTCTGAGTCGGGCAGACTCTCCACTCCCCAACCAAAGCCCCACTGAGGGCAGACCATCGCCTCAAAATGGATGATGACCATCTCTCCCATGTCTGATGGGCGTTTCTAACGAATGCCAGAGCTGGCGGCACCGCCCCCGCAGTGAAAAAAAAAACCAAAAAACCACAAAACTTTTATGGATGACTAACCAGCAATAGTGCTGCAAATGACCCGTCTGAAAAATCTTCAGTGCCTTGAAATCTAAATTACTCTAATTTTTCTCCCCTAAAATTAGGTATAATATTATAATTTCAAGTAATGCAAGAGCAATTTCTCCCTTCAGTGGATACCAAGCTCAAGATGTTACAGGAAAAAGAAATAGCTTTTACCACTGATATGAGAAATTTAAAAGAGAGACAAGTGTGAGCAAACAAAAGCTGTCACATCAAATACTGTGGGGGGAAAAAATCTAGAAAAACTGCCAGAAATGCTCAAGTCTAAATAAAGTCATTTATTTGTTATTTTAACCCCTTCGCTGTCAGGCTCGCTGGCAGAGGCTAGTTAGTTCTCCGTAGGTGGGATTAGTGAAGACAGCACACTTATGCTCATAATAATGGCTGTGTGGTCACGTGTCTCAGTTCTCTGGTCTCTTAGAGCGTTTCCAAACACAAACAAAGCTGTTAATATTCCTCTCGTCCTAACTCCTCTGTGGGTGTCACTTCTTCAGAGAATTCACTCTTGTCCAATTTCCACCACCTTCAGCAGAGAAGCTTTGCTACGTGCTCCCCCAGGGCAGTGGCCGGCCACACACCTTTCATTTCGGAAAGATGGCAGGTATTCCACAGAATGTGGTGGAAATAGTTTCTTAAAGCTAGTGTCCTCGGCGGCTAGCATGCAACTCCAACATAAGACTCCTTCTGTAGGGGGGATGCTATGAAGGCCAGCTGGAAATGCAGAAAATACACAAACTGGATAGACCCGGGGTTCATCTCTTGTTCCTCCTTAGTCACAGTCATCAGCCTGTTTCATGTGTCAAAATCATGTGCTTTTATAAGATTAGGTACGATACGTTGGTGAAAGAGCATTGCTGACGCGGAGGTCTATAGAAACAGAGGGAAGTGTTTCCAATTAAAATGTATTGATTGGGCACTCTGTGCCCTACAGTGGGCTCTGAGATGAGTCAGTCACAGCCTCTGTCCTCAAGAATCTACCCCCTCCACCTCCCACGCACTCCCCTGCCCAACCAGTAAATTGCTTCGGCGATGGTTACCAGGACCTCCCAACTGACAGAATTCCACAGAATCAGCTCCCATTCGAATGCCAACGACACCATTGCGGATCTCGGACCTCTCTCCCAAGTCCCCATCCTAAAGGTCCTCCCGCTTTTCCCCAGTAGGGGTCCCATCACACTGAGATGCCATGCACCTGTGGCTGCAAAAGGAGAGGCTGGGAGGGATCCTGGGTCCTCCCTCCTTCCCCACTGCCAGTCCCAACCCCTCAGCATGGCACATACAGCCCAGCCCACCCCCACGGTCACGAAGTTCCCCCCACCTCTGCGGCCCTGTACCCGAGCCCCCCAACCTCAAATGCGCTCCTCATCTCTGCTCGGAGGCTTCCGCCAGCTCTCAGGTCACACCCACTCCACACTCCAGGGCTCACCCCGCTCTGCTTCGGGGCGCCCACCCCACCTGCATTTCCTTTACCTCAGCTCCTCGGCTCCGTGCACAGTACTCGTCCAGGTTTATGCATCTGCCGGCCCTGCCAGTGAATGACCAGCAGGAGGGCAGGAACCTGGCTGCTCAGCTCTGGAACTCAGGGCCTCCTCCCAGGCGCGAGGAAGGGCGGCCTTTAAAATGAGACTGAGTGAGTGATGCCTAATCTATCCGCCAGAGGAACTCCCTGGGGTTTTTAACAGGTGATCTTAGCTTCCAAAGTGAGCCTGGTTAAGCGAGGTGCTGTGATTTTCACAGTTCTTCACAAACAGGGGGAACCTGCAGGGGCTCTCCATCTCTCCATATTCCCACCCCCCATCGCCCTGCACCTGTATTTTAGGGACCCTTCCGGCTGTTCCCCACCTCGTGCAGAGTTGCCATGAGCGGGAGACAAGGTGCCTGTGTGGTCCCGGTGCCTTGCGGTGGCCACCAGCGTCTCCAGCCTCACATTCTCAGCATTGCAATGACCCCCAGACTCCTTCAGGTCGGTGCTGGAAGGAGGGCCCCACGGCACATGAGGGACATGTGGCCATGTGTTCTCAGCCCAGACATTCTGACGGGGGCTTCTGTGTGGGAGAGTAAAAGATGCACACACTCCCCGCAAGTCTAGAATTTGTGGTGTGTGTTATCTCACAACTTCATATTTGGAAGAGGTATTTTAATTTCTTACGAGTTGTGAATAATTATGTAATTCTGCCACCTTCTTAAAGCTGAGAGATTTCAAGCGGACTCCTGTAGTCTGGGGCTGACATCCTAAAGGGGGCTTTGCTTTGTTCCTTTGGTTTTTGAGCCAAGTGTGTGCCAAACAAATTTCTTTCGTCAGTTGAAACAGGTCATCCTGTAGAAAAAAGGAAAATCTTTCTATCCTCTCAAAATTAATTCGCAAAAATTACTTCTCAAATACACATGCAGCGTTGTATTTCTAAAAGGCACGTACGTCTCTATTGTTTGCCTTCCATTCTAGATTCATCCCTATCAATCATGAGGTCACTTGGTCATCAATATTTTTGAGCGTCTCCAGCATCCCGGAGTTAGTTCATAGCCCTGGGGATGCAGAGTGTAGAGGCAGGTGAAGTCACAGATCCTCAAGTGACCCTCTGAAGTCTATACCCTAATATCACCCACAGCTGATGTCAAAACATTCACACTAGAAGGTGATCATTTCATTAAATACAAACAAGAGCTTGTTGGTAGTTAGGATGTGCTTATCTTTTTTCCCAGGGTGTAAGTTTTTTTTTTGTTTTTTTTTTCTCAGATGTATTTCATATTCCTAGCTGGAAGACTATCAAAAGAATCTTAATATCACCATCTGGAAGTTATGCCACGGACTCCAGTGGGCAGGCTTGGAGCTGGGTTTCTCTTCCTGCAAAAGTGCATTTCTTCTGCTTCAAAATGAACACAGACACGTTTGATTCCCTAATGAGACTCACCCAGAGGCTACAGGCCACTGGTTCTTCACCTTCCACCATCCATCCGCACAGCTTCTTGGGGTTCTCCAACGCAGAGAGATTGGGGGTGCAGTGCGGAGTCCCTTCAAGGACATTTGATCATCAGTGACTTCACTCAACCAATAAATCCAATGTGTTAAAATACACAAATGTCAGAACGCAGTACATGACTACTCACCAAACAGTCTGTTGGTCCGTCTGGGTCCTGGATTGTGTAAGAAGCCTGGCGGGGGGCAGGTGGGGGAGGCATTCCAGTTTCTGGACATGCCGTCTTCAGTCAGTATCTCCTTGAGCCTTAATATCCTTTACTGGCACAGTCGTTCCCCCTTATCCAAGGGTTCACGTTCCGCAGTTTCAGATACCCAAGGTCAACCACAGTCCGAAAATATTAAATGGAAAATTCAGAAAAAAGGAATTCATACATTTTAAATCATTCCTCATTCTGAGTAGCATGATGAAATCTCGCTCTGTCCTGCTCCATCCCACCCAGGATGTGAATCATCCCTGTCCCAGCTCCCCGCCTGTTAGTCACTTAGTAGCCATCTCATATATCAGATCGACTGTCACAATGTCTCAGTGCTTGTGTGCAAGTCACCCTCATTTGACTGAATAATGGCCCCGAGCGCAAGAGCAGTGATGCTGGCGATTCGGGTATGTCAGAGTAGCCGGGAAGGGTTTCCTTGAAATGAAAAGGTGAGTACAATACAAAAAGGTATTTATAGAGTGAGAGAGAGACCGCCTTCATGTAACTTTTATTATAGTATATTGTTATAATTGTTCTATTTTATTATTGGTTATTGCTGTTAATCTCTCACTGTGCCTAATTTATAAATAAAACTTTATCATAGGTGTGCATGTATAAGAAAACATAGTATATAGAGGGTTCCTTATATAGAAGGTTCGGTTTCAGGCATCCACTGGGGGTCTTGGACGTATCCCCCATGGACAAGGGGGAACGACTGTATCCCCCAAGTTGATGTTTAACTTGTTACTTTTGCAGCTACCAGTATTCTTATGAAACAGAAGATGATTATTTGAAAACTTCACTTTTTATACCTCCATTATATCACTTTCACATTTATAAGTCTTTACATGTCCACCAGGTTTTTTTCTTTTTTATCTCTCCATGTGGTTTTCTCTCCTGCCAGCCCAGCCATGAGTCCCAGAAAGAAGGCTCCCCCAGCACTTCACCCATGAAACAAGCTCATAAACAGAATGATGTTTTAAATTAACATTGTAATAAAACTCCTCCAGTAACTATCAGTTAACAGTTTGCATTGCATGTGGAGCCCGTATTGATGATATAATATTAGATCTCCTTTAAATTTTCACGGATACATTTTATTTGTAAACATCTTCTGAGTATCACCCAGAGAGTCTGTCCAAACTGAATGAACGTTTCTAACTTCCGCTGCTACAACAGGCTGCCTGCTACAGAGGCATTTTTCAAGCAGAAGTTCACGACACTGGCCGTCGTGAAATCTGCCCAATTGTTCTTACACCCATTCCACTTATTATTACATAGTCTGTAATATAATGAGCTGTCACTGAACAGTAAGAATCCCCGACGCTTCTCATACCCACAGCCACGGAGCAGGCTGACATCTGGGTGAATCCCCGCCCCACCGGGGACCGGGCAGGCAGCCTCACTGCGCCCCAGTTTCCTCATCCGCAAGATGGAGATAAGAGCGCCCAGCTGGCCGGACTGACAGAGGGAACAGACAATGTCAACACAGGCAAAGCCCTTGGAACAGGATCGGGCCCAGACAGCAAGTAATTACCATTAGCTCTTATTAAAGCCCCTTTAGCTATAAGACAAAGGAACCAAAGACATTTACAGAACCACGGAAGCATTTAGTATGTGAGGTTCTCTTTTGGGGGATAAAAATATAAGCAGTTTCAATATATTTTATATTAACGTATTACGCAATCCCTACTCAGAACTTCAATCAAAAATGTTGCTTTTCCCATTTAGACTCTGTCCACACACACAAACCAGTTTTTAAATATTACCCGGGTGAAACCACACAGATGATAATTAACAGCGTTTTACATGAATTGGTTTACATTTGTGCACCAGATCCTCAACAGTTTTTACCAACTTACCTTAAGTACAAGGTATGACAATTAAGTTCGCGAACTTGTTGCAACGATGTTACTAACTTTCTTTTTTTTTTATCAGAGGGATTATTCATTATGAATTTGTACCAACTGGACAAACATAACCAAGTTTACTATTTGAAAGTGCTGAAAAGGCTGTGTGAAAAGGTTAGATTAACTGAACTTTTCGCCAACGATTCATGGCTCTAGCATCATGACAATGCACCAGCTCACACAGCACTGTCTGTGAGGGAGTTTTTAGCCAGTAAACAAATAACTGTATTGGAACATCCTCCCTACTCCCTGATCTAGCTCCCAATGACTTCTTTCTTTACCTGAAGATAAAGGAAATATTAAAAGGAAGACATTTTGATGACATTGAGGACATCAAGGGTAATACGACGACAGCTCTAATGGCCATTCCAGAAAAAGAGTTCCAAAATTGCTTTGAAGGTGGACTAGGTGCTGGCGTTGGTGCATAGCTTCCCAAGGGGAGTACTTCGAAGGTGATAGTGATATTCAGTAATGGGGTATGTAGCACTTTTTCTAGGATGAGTTCGCGAACTTTACTGTCAGACCTCGTATGTCACCAGAAAGGTTTCAGTGGACAGACTGAAACCTAATTTTATAGCTTGGAAGGAAATTAATAGTATGTTGTATTCACCTTCTAAAACATTAGCTATGTAGATATTTTAATGCTGGGCCTAGTCCAGAGTCAATGAAGACATGCCTCAACGTTTCCAATATGATCCAGCTCAGTTATCTGGAATGGACCGGGTAGGCAATCATCTGGATTTTATTCTTTTCAATTTCTCAGGACTTTACTTAATATGAGATGTTGGAAGGGCCTTTACGTGGGGAAGCAATTCATGGTGTAAGCTGACTTTCTCTCTAACACAACGATAACTGCAGGGTGGGAAAAGCTCTTTGTGAAAATAGCATTCTTGGCAAAACAGCTCTGTGGAAGTCAGGACCGGACAAGATAGCCGGCTCACATTACCACTGACTTATATCAGACATTCTATTGTTTTTTCTGCCTCCGGCATGTATGAAAGTAAGCTGCTTCAGAAAGCAATTGCCTCTTTTTCATCTGTGGTGTTATTACACTGAGCAGCTTCTATCACCTACCCTGCTTGTAAACCAGGGGGGTTGCAGCTTATCTTGGTGACTTTAGCTAATCTCCACACAACAGAAGAATGTGAGGCTCTGGAACAGCGGTTCTCAACCTGTGGGTCACGACCCCTTTGGGGGTCAAACGACCCTTTCACAGGGGTCGCCTAAGACCATCGGAAAACAAAAAGATATTTACATGACGATTCATAACAGTAGCAAAATTACAGTTATAGAGTAGCAACGAAAATAATTTTATGGTTGGGGGTCACCACAACATGAGGAACTGTATTAAGGGGTCGCGGCATTAGGAAGGTCGAGAACCGCTGCTCTGGGAGGTTCCAAGGCTTGACCAAGGCTGAGCCAGATTTGTCCGAGGCCATCTCTCATCCTTTCCACCTTGCTCTTGCCTCCCTCTGCAAGGGACCAGCCTAGCACCAGACCACCACCTGCAGGGTGCACGTGGGGAAGTGGCTAGCTCCTGGCCCTCGCTGCCCCTCTCCACCAGGAGGAAGAGGAGGGAAGCCTTCCTCCCACATCGACGATGGTGCTAGAGAGGAACAGCCTCTGAGGTCCCCATTTCCCGAGCCAGTCCTCCACAGCACCCTGCGCTTCTGCAGCCGCTCGAGAGGCACACGCACGTGTACACACACACACACACACACACACACACACACACACAAACACGCGCGTGCACACACACGGGCTTTAGATTCTGACAGGCATGTTTATGGTTGTTCCCAGCCAAAGCTGGCTGTCGGAACCCTCCTCAGCTCCAGAGCAGTTATGGGGCTGATCCCGGCCCTGCCACTGTTACTTCCCAGCTGGGAAAATGTATAAAATGGCCAGGCACGTTTAACGCGTCTATATACATCCACAAACACACACTAATGACCTAATAACTTCCACGGCCAACAAATCTTTCAATCTCTGTAGGACTCAGATCTTCAGAATATACGTAATCATATTCACAGATGATAGGCTAATACGCTTAATATGCCACTTGAAAATACATTTGTATCCCTCATAAGACAATCGGCCACCCTGATTTTCCTCAGGGACCTGTTCCTCCATATCCACTGGTTACACCATCAGGCGCTTTACCACCGTCATGCCCGTGCTGAGCACTTTACCTGGGTTACCGGCGTACTCCTTACAATGGTGATCTGATGAAGGCCCACGTCCTTTGCAGATGAGGAGACTGAGGTGTAGAGATGCCAGGTCACCAAGCTGAAGGCCTGGAGCTGGGCCTGCGGCCATCACTTCTGGAGGCGACTCCCAAGTCCTAAGCTATTTTGTATTCTCACTGGGCTTTTTCCTCCTTAAAAGTTCCGACAGCTTCGCAGTCTATTAGTTCCCTCACCTTGTCCACATCGCCGGACAGTAGAACCGAGTTGATGTTGTCACATAAGGAAGGTGCTTTCCCCCCGTCCATCCTGATCTGTCAGAAACTACATTAAAACAAAATATACAAATTATCCATTAGTATTCAATAGACATAATACAGTTAACTTAAAAATGATTTCAAACAATAGGGTAACTACTTTCCATCCTTTGTAGGGCCAATAATCGTTTGAGGTGTATCACTGGTCAACACGAGCGTTGGACTCTGGGAGGAAGAATAAAAAGTATGGGGCTCCCTCTCATCCACAGAAATCTAAATTGGGCTGTAGGGATAAGCTGCATGTTCTAGAAAGCTGTGTACTTCATGATGATAGACCAATTCAGCACTAGCAACTCACTTATCAAAAATGAAGGAAGGGGGGCCGGCCGAGTGGCTCAGTTGGTTAAGAGCTCACTCAAGAGTGTGAGCTCTGAGCAACTAGCAGTTCGATTCCCAGCCCGAGCTGAGCTGCCACTGAGCTGCCAACAGGTGGCAGGATGGCTCAGCTTAAAAAAAAAATGAAGGAAGGAAAGATAAGAGTATTTCTCAGGGAGGAAAAAAACACTTGAGTTTTTCATACCCCAAAGGTGGTCCCTTTTCTCATGGTCAAAGAATAAGGCTATAGCTACACGTGACATACAGCAATCCCCATTTGCTCTAAAAATACACAGAAATT